TGTTAACCAATGTCATAAAACAATATGTGTACTACTGTTTCATGAGAAACTATTTGTTCTGTAAGCCTTCACCTGAAGTACAATAAAAAAAAAAAGTATACACTTTTAGTGCCAAATTTGAGAGTAATAAGAATATTTCTAGTTTAAAAAATAATTTATTGTTGTTAAAAATATACACAGCAGAACATACACCAATTCAACAATTTCTACATGTACAATTCAGTTACGTTGATTACATTCTTCAAGTTGCACAACGATTCTCACCCTCCTTTTCTAAGTTTTTCCTCCCCCATTAACATAAACTCGCTGCCCCCTAAGGTTCCTATCTAACCTTTCAAATTGCTGTTGTCAGTTTGATCCCATATAGTTAGTTCTTTAAAAGACCACAATGCTTAAGGCAGACATTCTTTACTATCTAAGCTAAACTATTATTTGGTTTAAAGAAGACTTCAGGGGATATCTTTGATATAAGGTTTAAAGTTTATTTTAGGGCAATAGTTTTGGGGGTTCATTCAGCCCTAATGGCTCCAAAAAATCTGGCTTCCATGAATATCTTAAATTCTGCTCCACATCTCCCCCCTTTTTGATCAGGATTGTGCTATAGAATTTTTGATCACTATGTTCACTAATGGTATCCAGGCACTATCTAGAGAACACTGTTTCTTAATTCAGAAAGTATTTTATAGTAATACTTTTGGCTTTTGTGAAGAATGTTTAATATTTCACCTTTACTTTAAAAAATTCCCTGTAAGGGATGAAAACTATCATAATATTCTGAAATGTTCCAGGAAAGGAAAATGCAATACTACTTCACCTTGGGTTAGATGTTCTAGAAAACAAATTAGTTTCTGATCTTCTGCAACTAAAAATGAAGGCTGACAGCATTACTGTGCTATATACTAATATAGCTGGTCATTTACTTATTTGCCTTAGGAACCCCTTGAATTCTAAACTTCTTAGAATTTTCCTTTTTTAAAATTCCTCTTAGCATCTAGTCCAGGGTTTAACATGCAGCTATCTAACAATCACATATTTAAGCCACAGAAATGGTGTATCTGGAAAATATTAATATGTATCCTATTGCATAAATCACATGTGGCTAGAGTCCAATTAGGATTGCATATACACTCCGAAATACAATTCAAACTCCATATCTACAGCCTGACCAGGGTTTCTGGTTAGGGTCTAGAAATTTTATCATCAGGATTAAGCAGGTCAGTGAAGGTGACAGAGATTCTTACGCTAAAACATGACATATTTCAGTCTTGTTTCTAAGCAAGAAGACGCAAACATGGTTTGTCTTCTTCCTCATACTACTGGATATAATATAATGACACAAAAAATAGTCTTAGAATAATACACGGAAAATCTTTATCTGAGCACATCTGCTTCCATGTTTCTTACCAACAAAAATAAACACAACAAATAAAAATTTTTACTTAAGTATTTCACGTTATAGGAAATACAGGAAGCTGACTTATTTACAGGATATAATACATAGTATCTGCCCTCTGCCTTTATGCCATGTTATATTTATAATTTAAAATAATAAAATGATTGTGTTGCTGAAATTTTCTTAAATTCTACTTTTAGTGTTGAACACTTCAGTGATTTCAGTGTTATAAATAAACTGCCTGAATAGATACAATAAGTAGACTGTGCCCCAAACTACTTGACTTGATGTTACTAGTTTTTGGTTGAAATTAATTGCAAGTGCTATTATTTTACATGAATCTTTAAAATCTCATCTTACATGCAAATCTTACCCCAATACTGATTTTCCAGTCTCATCTGGTTTACGCACAGTAAATGGACTCGGATCAATGCCAACGGTCTTAGGCATAAAGTCACTGAAGAAAGGGGGGAAAAATCAAAATTCCATATGAATCATTGTCCATCCAGATGATACTGGCTTCCATCTCAATTCACACCTAAGAATACTCCTTCTTAACCCTCAGAGCTACATATATTCTGAGCCAAACGTTCAGGGTAGCTTCAGGTGATCAGGGCCATGAAACTTCATGAACTAATAGTGCTAGGTAACTTCAATGTTATCAGTTTTCACTGTGAACTCTCCATGATTACGGGGCCCAAGAGTGCTGAATTTAAGATTTTACTAGCACAGTGTTGCTATCTGAATTTACTGCTAAGATGCATACCATCTAATTATATATCATGATTAGTTGTCAGGTAAAATTAAACTCATAAAAACCAATGGCAAAACACCGAGCTGTTCAGTTTTATGGGGAATGTTTTTAAGCTATACCACCTCAGGAGACTTGACATAATGATCAAAAACACAGTGGAATGAACTGAAGTATCAACATCTACCTCGTTATGCTGAGGTTCATTCATTAAGACACTGTTGGAACACTTCAAATAGAAACTGTTTTAATTTACCTCTTACTGAGATAAGCTACAGCTATGTCTTCATCATGCAAGGACTACCTTACTATTAGTGCTGAAACCAGACCAAACTCTTCAATAGATGGCAAAAAGGCAGGAGTTCCATGATTTATGCCGATAAGACTCATAAACTTATAAAGTAAGGATACTGCTCCAAGTGTGTAACTGAATATTACATTGAGTCAGGCTAAAAATGCCTACTTTAACAGTTTGAAAATGTTTTCAAAATGTAATTGATTAAATTTTTTTTCTTTCTCTTTGAACACATGAATCTGTGTATACACGAATGTCATTTATCCTTTGATGAGTTGAAAAATTCTAGAAATGACAAATATCTTACAGTTAAAACTGCTAACCTTTAACAAATTTAACTGAAAATCAACCAAGTAAAAATTTCAAACTTTTCCTGACCATCTGAAATTGAATCAAAATGTAGAGTGACTTCTAGGGAAACAAAACCATAGAATATGTTTCTATATTAAGTATAACTGTACATATAACACATCAGAGGAAAATGGAAAACAAAATTTTAAATTTTAATATAAAATATAATAATCAAAAAGTGATTTGCTTTGCCCAATGTTCTCATTCTAGTTCCATCATTTTTCCTAAAAGGTCCCACCAAGTTCTAAAACGGACACAGAAGAATTAAGTATGTCCTAAGGTGACAGACCAGAATGGGGAGGGTTTGGAAATATCACATGAATTATAGAGGATGGAATGAAGAATATTTACCCTGAAAAAAATTAATATTGCTTCCTCAAATATATGGAGGGCTCTCATGTAGAAGAGGAACCAGACTTGTCTCATGCTTAATAAAAATATTAATATGAAATAAACAGTTGTTGAATTGACTCTAACTCATGGTAACCCCACATGTGTCAGAGTAGAACTGTGCTTCATAGGGTCCTCAATGGCTAATTTGTTGGAAGTAGATTGCCAGGACTTTCTTCCGAGGCACCTCCGGGTACACTCGAACATCCAACCTTTCGGTTAGCAGCGGAGCACATTAGCCATTTGCACGACCTTGGGACTCCAATATAATAATAGCTATCATTTACTAATCGTTTACCTGTGCCAGGCACTTGGTAAATACATATATATATGCCTATGTGTATATGTACATACACACACACATATATATACATGCACACATATCTATATGAGAAATGAAGCAAATAAGGCTCAGAAAGGTTGGATAATTTTCTCAAGGGCATAGGCAGTGGCTAATCTAAGATATCCCGGCCCTTCTAGTTCCAAAGACTATGCTTTTCCCAGTAATTTGTGTTAGCTCTCAATTTCTAAAAATGAATTGATTCCAAATGGCAAACTAGGATCAATGGGAGGCAGATTTCGACTTCTCAAAAGAGAGAAATGAATTCCAGCTGCCTGACAACAGAAGGGGCTGCCTCCTGAAGTGGAAGGATCCACATCACAGGAGGAATTCCAAGAGAGGCTGAAAAACCACCTGACAGAACAGATCTCTGGTAAAGTAAGACACAGCTATATAAACTAGGAAAACTATAGTTCCCAAATGCTTACAGAATCAGAGTACTCACAACATACCGTGCTGAACTTGTCATAGCCAAGCAAAAGGTATCATCAAAACTACTCAATTCATAGGGCCGAAAGAACTCATTGTGGATATCAATCTCTTCTTCATGTTTGTGAAATTTCTTCACTATCAACTTCTTTAAGTTCGCAGCACAGATAACTAAGAGAGATACTGCCTGTTACTATTAAAGTCTTTAGATTACATGTAGCAAACATTTATGTAATACCAACTGTATTCACAGACAGCACTGTGGTAAGCTCTGTGGAGGATACAGCACTGAGCAAGGTTCAGCTCCTGCCTCTACCACTTAACACACTTGGAAAGGAGATGAGATTTGTGCGCAGAAAATACAATGTAAAGCTGAGTGTGACAAGCTCTAAGGAAGCATGAGGCCTCTGAAGTCTAGGGTAGGGGCGGGGAGGTTATTTTAGAAGTCAAATTACTCTGCTCCTTAAATTTTTTTTTTTTTTTTTTTTTTTTGCTCTTAAATAAATACCCTCTGCCTTGTAGGTAAAAGTTATGCAGCTATTTTACGAAGTTTTTCTTTATATTTCAAATTTTGTGAATGTCCAATGTTAGACTGTTCAAATCTTCTTTTCCTTTCTCCCAGAACAACCAAGTCTTAGCAAGTTGGGTTATGATTCTGGTCAAAGTTTCAAAGCTATAAATACTTTCCTAAAATGAATTAATAATTCATTAAGAATTAAAAACCATTTGCAATCTTCTTTTTATGGCCTTCACAACCCAAACTTGGGATAGTAAGACTATGGCTAGATGGAGTCCTCCTCAACCAGTGTTCCAGGTTGGCAGTAGAACTTAGGGCCCTTTTACAATGGAAAAATTAGCTTGCCCACGGTCAGGGGAATCAGTAATACATCCAGGGCTGAACTGGCTCTGTTTAAAATGGGGCAATTATTAAATGTGGAAACATTATTCTAATATATTGTACATTTATAGGTATTCCTTTAATATAAAAATTTTCCTGCTTTTCTCACAAATAAATAAAATTTAATTTAAACTTTAGTGATCAAAATGTGCTTTTATACACACATCTTTGCCTTTTTTTTCACTCATTGGATATAGGGGAAAAAAAAGTTTTTATTTCTCTTTGGGAATGGGCCTTTACTTCTTCCCCATTCCTGAAAAATATCTAGAGATATAATAAGCATTAAGATCTGTTTTACAAGGATAAATTAATGCGTCACTGTTCATCTACTAAACACTTGAGGGACACATCTAATAACTGTAGGACACAATACAAGGTATTGGCCTGGTTAGATAAAAAGAAATATAATCTCTGCCCTTTAAGAAGCTGTCTAAGAGACATTACAACCCCTATCTATCAAAATAGCAATAAGAACACCAAGTAGCCACTCATTTCTATAAAATAATTATATGCAAAGGATTTAATGCTTCAAGCTTATTTAGGTACAATTACAAAACATGGTAGTGTAAAAACTAAAAGTGCAACAGTGTACCTACCTTCATCATAGGGCAATGGTAAATGTTTTATTACCTCTGGTGTCCACCAGTAAGTGTAACTATTAAAAGAAGAAAAAAAGGATAAGATAAACCTAATGTAAATGTTTACAATTCACTGTGGCATAATGGTTAAGTGCCTGAGTGTTAACCAAAAGGTTGACAATTCAAACCCACCTACAGGCACCTCAGAAGACAGGCCTGGCGATGTGCTTCTGAAAGATCACAGCCTTGAAAACCCTAAGGAGCAGTTCTACTCTGCACACATGGGGCTGCCATGAGTTGGAATTGACTGAAGGCAGCTGACAACAACATGGTCTATCGTGAGACATTGCCTCCTATTTCAAAGTTTTTTTTCTTTTAAAGACATGTTTGCGAAGCTTTTGGCACAGAGTAGGTCTTCAACATGTGAATTCCTTTCCCCATCCCTTTTTTGTTTCAGTTATGTCACAGATCTATAAAAATATCATGAACATATATCTCAGAGTCAAAATACTTCTGATGTTACTTACTTTCGGCCAAAAAAGACTTGGATGTACTGAGCCAGGCTCCATAAGCTGCGGTTTACTTCTCCCCAGGGACTGTGCCTGTAGTTACTATGCCACCAGCTGGGCAAAGGGACCATGACCCAAGTCCTTGTTATTGTTGTTGTCTTATTCCCACTCATAGTGGCTCTACAGGACAGAGCATAACTGCCTCATAAGGTTTCCAAGGCTGTAATCTTTACAGAAGCAGACTGCTACATCTTTCTCCAGTGAAGCAGCTGGTGGGTTTGAACCACTGACCTTTCAGTTAGCAGCTGAGCGCTTAACCATTGTGCCAGGGCTCCTTAAGAAAACAGTATAGTTCCTGCTAATGTTTAACTATAAAGATTCACCGCTTGATGATAGAGGCCAGAGTAACGGTAGGGAATTTCGACCATCTGGATTTCTGCTAGAAGACTCATCAGCTAAGAGGAGAGAATCTGAAAGAATGGTGAACACCTTCTCTCTGATGAAATGGATATTCAAGGGGAAATGTTTTATCAAAATACGTGAGTGCTAGGAAGGAAAATGATGAAATAGTGTACCAAAATTAATTTTTTTTCCCAAAAGATTCAGAAAAAAGAGCCTATGGCCAAAAATGTTAAAAAGAGAATTTAATATAAATGACAGGCTTTCTAGAAATAAAATGCTGACATTACACTCTCGAATAATTCCAATTATGAAGAAATAGAGGAGTACTGAAATGAAAGTGGCAACATACGAAACTCTCCAATGAGCCTGGATTTAGAAAGGATCTATGCTAGAGATGGTGAGCAGGCTACATAACCAAGGATGATGAAAAAAGGAACACAGGGCCTAAAGAATTATAAGGGGGAAAAAGTGCTATGATAACAGGAAAGGCTCCTAAAGTTTTGCATTAGATGACAGTTATGCTTTAGAGCAGTGCTTCTCAAAATTCATTGCACATACGAATCACCCAGGGATCTTGTTAAACGGCAGATTTCTGATTCAGTAGGTGGGGCTTAAGATTCTGCATTTATGACAAGCTCCCAGATGATGCCACAGAGTACGAAGAAAACAGCGAAGGGAAAGGTCTGCTGCTTGTAGAGAATTCACTCTGTCATTTAGCATTTGTTAACCACCTACTATGTGTCAGACACTGCCCTAGGTGTTAGAAATGCTGTGTTGAAAATAATGATAGAGAAAGTAGGGTCACTTCATTCCACTATTGCTTCTATATTCACCAGCCATGACAAGGTTCATGCTAGAAACAGGAAAAACACAAGAAGGAACTACAGCCCAGAGATCGACAGAAGCAGTGGAGCAGCTGTAAAAGCACTCAAGAAGCTGTCTAAAAGATACTTCCTAGCTATAAAAATAGCAACAGAACACTGATTAGCCACTCAGTGTGTCTCATTCAAGTGTTCTGGTGCAGTAGAGATCAATAATCTTTGAAGAGATAGTGAAGAATGGAAATTACACTGGAAATGGGCAGAAGCAGTCTTGCTGCTCTAAAGTGAGAAGGGGTGCAGATGCCAAAAACTATATACACCTCAGTGAGTATGATGTATCCAAGCAAGGTAACAGAATCAAGTATTAGATAGAGATGAGTTGTGTGTAATCTAAAAAGATGAATGGTGAATTCAAGAAATTCACACATATTCACTAGAACAAGCCACACCAGGCTAATCTCATTTTCTTTTCTGATAGGTCAATCAGACTTTCAGACTGCGGTAATGAAAGAGACACAGGTTAGTAGTTTAAGAGGGGTGTGTGTGTGTGTGCATGTGTTTAAGTTCTATTTTGTGATGACCTAAGCTTGGCAAGTGCCATTGAACTGATTCCAACTCACAGCAACCCGATGTGTGTCAGTGTAGAAGCCTGCTCCATAGGGCTTTCAATGGCTGATTTTTCAGAGCTAGACTGCCAGGCTCTTCTTCCAAGGTGCCTTTGGGTAGATTCAGCTGCAAACCAAAAGGCTGGAAGTTTGAGTCCACCCAGAAGTACCTCAGAAGGCTGGCAGTCTACTTCTAAACAATCAGCCATTGAAAACCCTACAGACCACAGTTCTACCCTGACACAAATGGGGTCACCATGAGTCAGAGTCGATTTGATAGCAACTGGTTTTTGGTTGAACCTTGGCAGAGGAAGGAAGTAGGAAAAGGTATCCGCTAGTATATGAAGAATTTCCTAGAGAATGTTGCTTACATCTAGTTTGCTTAAGAAAAAGAAGTAAACACTATACAGAATGTATTTTAACTTAGAATGCACTATATGGAAAAAAAGAATTGAGAGATAATCTTGTATTAGTGATTTGAGACTGGGCCATACTTTTTTTTTTTTTTTAATGTTATTATGCTGAAGAAACTGGGGCTATTTAGCTCAGAGAAGAGATTTTGAGAATGCATGATGCTGTCTTCAAATATTTAAAAGACTATCAAGTGGATGAGGAAATAATGTTCTTAAGGTCTCAGTGGGCTGAACTAGGATTAGTAGGTTAATTTACAGAGAAGCAGATTTCAGCGTGATATGAGGAAGAACTGTGTAAGTGAACTGCCCCAAAACAACTGCCTCCTCAACCAGGTACTTCCCAGTTGACAAACCGGGGCTTGCCAAGCAGTAGTCAGATGCCCTCTACCTGGGAGACAGAGGAACTCTTGTATCAGGAAACCTCTCAACTCTAAGAGTCAATGAAATAATTAATGCTTAATATCTAAAAACATCTTGGTGACATTATAAACACTGATTCAATAAATGGCATCTTCAATGGTTAAGCTTCAATTAGTGGTTTTGAGCAGATCAATAAATGTGGGATTTTGAGCAACAGAAATAGTTATCTTAAGACCTCATGTGGATGAACTCTAAGCCAAGCTAGGTCTATTTCCCCTTCCTTTATTATTCTATAAAAATATTGTTTCAGAGTAAATCATTGGTAAACACAGTATAAAATACAGGGTGACCATCAAGTTTGGGAACACAGGCAAATACATAATAAAGGGTTAATTGATATCATATGAAGTGATTAAACGATATTACTAAGTTTCCAGATTTTATGGCCATGTCTAGGATTTTTAACGAATGATACAACTAGGGAATAAAATATCCTTAAAGAATAATAACAACACTAACATCTATTGGACTTACTATGTGCTAAGTGTTTTATATGGATCATCTCATTTGATTCTCAGAAAAAACTAAAATAGTTAGATACCATTACTATAGATACTACTACCATTTTACTGATGTGGACACTGTGAGTGAGACCAGGTAAGTGATTTGCTCAAGGTCACCCAGCTATTAAGTAGTGGGCAGTGTGGTTTGTTTTGTGTCAGACCCAGTGCTACATCTTCTCACTTAGTCTTGCATTGGTCCTCTGACATGTGCATAGTCATCTCCATTTTATAGATGAGAAAATGAGGCTTTGAGAGGTTAAGTGACAAGTCTAAAGCCCCATAACTACAGAGATCCCAACTCAACTCTACCTGACCCCAAGGGGTATGCTCTCATCTGGTTACTGCCTCTGGTTTAACTGTTCATTTCTTTAGAGAATAAAAATAATATCAATTTAACAGTTATCAAAATAATCTATACAGATAGGTGACTCAACAAAATCCAAAACACAACACTGAAATTTACCTTACAGTATCTGTAAGCACTGTTTGTGAGCAATATCAATTGATGATACCATAAAACAATTTTTGGAATTTTGACATATTGGAGAAAAAAGAAAATTAAAAAAAAGGAGACTGAATCAACTGAGTGAGCCATATTATTTATTTGAATAATACGTCAAAATATTTATTTTCAGTGGAAGGTTTGAAGCTGATTCTTGCTAAACCATCTAACCAGCTGATTAATCTTTGTCAAGACATATTCTCTCTGTACCTCAGCTTTATTGTCTAGAAAATGATGATGTAACACTAGCTTCCTTTTATTCCCACATATAAGCTCAAAAACTGCCTGCTTCAGTTATGTTAACTCAAGGTAAACAAGCAGGTTAATTTAAGCTGATAAAATTCAGTTAATTTCTGTTCCTGAGTTGTATCTTAATACCTTCAATACTTTAAAGTGATATAAAATATCAGAAAGTCAATCACATTTACCCAGTCAATTGTCATTACCAAAGCTAAATACAGGTATTTATACTAATCTCTCACCAAATAAACACAATTAGTCCCATTTTGTTTGTCAGCAAAAAGTCACATAAGCAATCATTTATTATTTTAAATTTAATGGAAAAAAACCCAGCAATGTTTCATTTACAGGGAGAGTAAGCTTAAGCATTAAGATAGTTACTCCAATAATATTAACTTATAAGAAAAAATTTGAGAAATATATAAACCTGACACTTCTCTAATATTTTAAATATTCCTGAAGCAATACAGAATTTGGAAGCAGCTGCAACATGCCATAAACATCCACTGCTGTCAAGTTGATTCCGACTCATAGCAACCCTACAGGACAGAACAGAACTGCCCTGCAGGGTTTCCAAAGCTGTAATCTTTACGGAAGCAGACTGTCACATCTTTCTACCACGGAGTGGCTGGTGGGTTCAAACCGCCCACCCTTCAGTTAACAGCCAAGTGCCTAACCACTGCACCACTGGGGCACTTGCTATTTCACCAGCTGCTTGTGGTCTGTGCACACAATTAGCACAAACTGGCAATAACCCCTATAATGTGCCTGGGAGGCATTTTTGTACAAAAAAGGAGTATAACAAACTGATGCTGCAAGAGAAGAGCACTATGGGAGAACTTGACGTTATAGGTCTTGAACAGAATGGACCAGGCTTCAACCTCATATAGTAAAAACTTTTGCTCACATGTCAAAATTTGTATTAGCACCTGGCTCATCAATCAAAAACACCGAAGAGACTTCTCACTAAATCCTCATAAGGACCCTGTGAGGTGCGTCCAGCATCATCATTTTGCAGATGAGGAAAATGAGTAACTAGTCCAAGGCCATCAAATTGCAGAGATTCTAACTCAACTCTACCTAAGCCTGAGGCCCATGCTGCAGGATGTCCTGTTAAAATGCCTCTGGCTAAGCTATTCTATCTTTTAAGAATATTAAAACAGATAACCTATACTGTGAATGACTCTATAAAGTCCAAATTGAGTAGTAGCAGTGGTTATCTGATACTTATGTTATCATGGTTCTAGTTTCCTGTCTTTACCAGCAACACCAAGAGTTGGTGTGCTTCCTGGAGGAAAGAACACTGGAATTCCAAAGCTTAGAATCCACACATGAAAAACAAAAATTGCTCCCTTAAACTTTAAAGTCCTGGGTTCTCCATGTTTGTAGGAAGCACTAAAAAATGATGATGCTTTGCTTTAGGAGAGCCCTGGTGGTGCAGTGGTTAAGAGCTCGGCTGCTAACCAAAAGGTCTGCAATTTGAATCCACCAGTCACTCCTCAGAAACCCTGTGAGGCAGTTCTACTCCGTCCTATAGGGTCGCTATGAGTCACAAACAACTTGACGGCAACGGATTTGGTTTGGTTTGCTTTAGTGGAACAACAACTTATGTTCAATGATGATGTTCTGAAACTTTATATCTTAGGTAAAATAAAAAACTCCAATTATTAGCCACAATTTCCCAAACCTACTATGAGGACATCAACAACACTAAACTCCTTATGGCAAACATGGTAAGACTGACTAGTTTAGCTTACATGATTATTTTTCAAAAGGAAAAGTATCTCTTTTTCAAAATAATATTAGAGTTTCAATGATAGACTAGGAAGAAAAATACCTTCTTCTTGTTGGTAAAAGTCCCATAGTATTTTTGTGATGCAAATAAAAATCTGTTGGGAGTTCCCAGAGGTGAGGTTTTCCTTCTGTGGGATGGAAAACTCCCAGGAAGAGATTAATAGAATCTTGTCTATCAGCATCTAAAAAGCAAAAATATGTATTTCAGGAAATCCATAACTGACATATACAACTCAGGAAAGTGTTTTCACAGGAGGACCCTGGTACAACTGTGTATTCATAGAACTTGTCTCTGAAAACAAAAGTATTTATGCTTCAAAAGTCATACACAAAACATATCCTCAAAACCCATACCCAAACCCACCGCCGTCAAGTTGATTCCGACTCATAGCAACCCTACAAGACAGAGTAGAACTGCCCCATAGGGTTTCCAAGGGGTGGCTGGTGGAGTCAAACTGCTAACATTTTGGTTAGCAGCTGACCTTTTGGTTAGCAGCTGAGCTCTTAACTACTGCGCCACCAGAGCCCCTATCCTCTAAAACAGTCACCAAAATTTTGAGCAGAATTAAAATCTTGCTTCAAAATGTTTACTTGTTGCTCCATAGCTCTTGTAACATGGAAGACGGTGCAAACAAACAGCTTCTTGAATTTTATTGAGTCAGACTCTTGAAAATCTTTAAGAACTTCCATAATACCTTAGACAGTGATTTTAATTTTTAAATGAAACACATTCTCACCATTTGTTAATTTACTTGAAATGAATATCTTCACTTTATTGCAAAGACAAGCACAGACTTCATAGACAAATAAAATGATCCAATTCCTATCCCAATTCTGTTACATAACCGTGAACAAGGCAGTTGCATAGCTTCCACTTGTAATCCTTGAAAAGACATTTTCCATTTCTTTAACAGAGACAGTTTACAGCATCTCTATCTCCCTCAGCTGTGAGGCTGGCCCATTTTTTTTTTGTGTTTGATAATGAAGGCAGAGAAGGCTCATGATTAACAGCCTCATTCAACCACTCCAAAATTATCTTATCTAACTCTACTAAGAACTAATAAAATTGACTATATATGTTTTATCTTCTCTTCCTTTTCCTAACTATGTTTTGGTAAAAAACGATAATAAGCACTGAAGTGATCTCATGAGCCACCGTTCCCCTTCTATATGCTCTCCTCCTTAGCATCTTCATTCTTTCCCCTCGTTTCCTTCTTTCCATTCTTGTCTCACAGTCCTACATACTCAAGCTTGGGGCAGACATCTACAGTATAAATAATAACCTCTTTCTGAAAATGAGTATCAGACTAAAAAGATAACACAGTAGAAATGACTCCTTTTGGAACAAGATAACATTACCATAAAATCAATTTTCTTTCAACAGCCATAGAGAACACAGGTATATCTGAAATTAGCAACATTATCCTCATTGGATTATTTGGTCATTTCAGCAAGAGGAAATAAATATGGTACATCAAACAGGTATTCCAGTTATTAGTATTTTGACAGGAAATATTCCATAAAATAGCACTTACCTTGCAGGCTAAAAGTAATACATAAACGCGATGTAGTCATATGCTGAATATATTTAGGGTCTTTTTTCTCCACTTGTTATGAGAAAACATCAAGTATTAAATGATGCAGATATTACTGCCCTAATTTGCACCCTCTTTATACAATGCAAAAGTAAACATATTGCTCTTAATTACATTCTTTATGCTTCTTGAATAAGGGGCCCTGGTGGTGCAGTGGTTAAGGCACTTGGCTGCTAACTGAAAGGTTGTTGGTTTAAACCCACTAGCTGCTCTGCGGGAAAAAGCTGTGGCAGTCTGCTTCCGTAAAGATTACAGCCTTGGAAAGCCTATGGGGCAGTTCTACTCTATCCTATAGGGTTGCTATGAGTTGGTTTTTATGGTTGAAGTGCAATGAACTACTTAATATGGTCCTTCTAGCCATAGTCTTTGTGACTCAAACACAATGATTGAGTGGGACTATGCAAATAAGTTATATGGAACCTGTGATGGTTGGGTTTATGTATCAACTTGGCTAGGCCATGATTCCCAGTATTGTGTGGTTGTCCTCCATTTTATGTGTTGTGGATCCTGACCTCTACATGTTGATGAGGCAGGATTGGTATATGGTGTGTCTTAGGTCGCAGCCTTGCAGGAGGGTGTGACTCAAGTCCCACCCTTAGTAAAGTTATGCCTTTCCCTGGGGTGTGGCCTGCATCTAAGAAATATGTGTGTGTCCCGGCAAGGCTCTCTCTCTCTCTGCATCTGGATACCGTGTCTGGTTCCTGATCAACTGACCTTCTCAGAGGCCTGCTATCTGACCTGCCAATTCTGGGATTCACTGGCCTCCACAGCCCCTTGGGCCAGTGGCCTATCATGTGACCTGATTCACCAGCTTCCGCAGCCTGTGGTCTGAACTGCCAGTTTGGGTTCGTCAGCTCCTACTGCCATGTAGGTCGAGAGACTTCTACGCCTGACCCACAAATTTGGGACTTGCCAGCCTCCACAACTGCGTGAACCATTTCCTTTATACAGTTGGTGAGTTCTGTGAGACACTGCAGTGAATTAGGGAAACCAAAGATGGCAGGGAGAGTATTGAGGGGAGAGGGAGTAGTTGATGTTAGAGGTGATGGAGTGGTACAGCAGCTTGGAAAAGTTGGACATTTGGGACATCTTTAACCTCCGCCTCATAGGAATTAGCTTTGTGCTGATCCTTATAAAATAAATTATTCGTCTAATGGTCAAATGTGAGATGTGAGAAACATGACCAAATGAAGGCTATTCCTTCAGTGAAGGTTATTCCTTCAATTGATCATAGTGAAGGCTTCTTGAAGGTACTGCTATTATTAAAACTTAAAATATATCTATGGCATTTATGGCCACTTACTAAGTTTGGGCTATAAGGCTAGCCCTAAAGAGCCTAATGATCTTCTCCTGGCTACTTTTGACTGCAAATAAGATAGCCACCCCCAGGAAGATAGCAGTGGTACTTTGGATACAGACAAGAACTTAAAACAGGTAGGTTGTGGATAACAAGGGGGAAAAATGATTACCTACTTTTATACTCAATCATGCATTAAAAGATAAAAGAATACTCACCATTCAAACTCCATTCAAACAGTTAAACATAAACCAGTTTTATTATGCATTCTATTTAAATTTTATCTCTATATTAAAATAGATCTGGCTTGAATAGAATAATTGTTTTTATTTATCAAAAATTTTCTTTTGGAAGTAGAATATTTCTTACTTTAACTTTAAATGAAGTTTTGATACAGTGATGTCTGAAATCAGTATTGAAGGGGTAAATTATTCAATAAACGGTACTGTTTAACTATTGTGGGGGAGATGAAGTTAGATCCCTACCTTACAACATACATTGAAATAAATATCAACTAAGTGTTAAAAAACAAAAAACACCATAAAAGAATTAGAAGAAATTATAATGAGGATCTATCTTATCTGATCTTAGGATTGGGAAGGCACATAAAAGTAAAGGAAGAAGCAATGGTAGAAAAGCTTAGTATATTTTACACAAAAAGTTGAAAATTCTACATGTCAAAATAATATTAATAATATTATTGAAAGGCAAAGATGTTAAGATAATGTAAATAATTATAAAAGGCAAAGTGAAAGAAGAAAAAAACGCATCATCTATTATAGACAAAAGGTTAGTATTCTGAAAATATATTCAAACAAAATAAAATTGATAGGAAAGACAAAGCTCCTAATAGAAAAATGGAAACATACAACTTTCTAAAAAAATAGAAATGGGAAATGAGTATAAAAGAGTTCAACTTTACTAGTTAGCAAACAAATGCAAATTAAAATAATATATCATTTTCTACCTATTAAGCTGGCAAATACTTTTCAAAATGGGTATTCCTATACTGTCAAGAATAGCATTCACTGCTACATCCTTTCTGAAAGGCAATTTGGCAAGTAAAAAAGAAAAAACAAAACCTGACATGTATTTATACCCTCTAACCTAATAAATATGTTTCTAAAATTTTCCTACGGAAAGATCAAAGACATGCAAAAATACCTATATGTACAAAGATGTTTGTTTAGAAGGAACCTAAATATGCAATAATAAATCAGCAAACTAAAGTATGATGCATCTAAAGGCTACTATGTAACAAGTTACAAGAGAAATCAAAAGGTGCTTCTTGGAGACAAAGCCCCAAGTGTGCTTATATGTGAAACCCCAAAACAGTTTTTAAAATAAGCATGAATGGGGGCCAGGTGAGTTGCCCATATAGATCAATCTGTCTATACAAACCAAGGATAAAATTTCTATTTTGGTTTCTTAATCAGTAAGTATCCTTCTGCCCACCCCAGGGGTATAACATTAGGAGACTGATTTAAGTTTTGCAGTTTTCTTGGGTGTCTTAAAGAAGAGTTCTATAACTATATCATCATCATTATATAATATCCATTGTAATTTAAAAATAAGCTGTACACCCAATGGCACCAGGCTTCTCAAAATAAAGAAGTCTATTTTAGCTAAATTATTCATAAAATAATTCCTTTCATAGTATCCTATTCAACAATTCCTCCTTCAGTTGTGCATAATTTCGCTTTACCTTTCCATTTTATGTACCCTTACTTTCTCATGATCGTCTTCTATCTTTTAATTTTATTCCTTTCTTTTTAAATCATGTACAGCTACACATGCATTCTCTTGGTTCTCTATTCTTATTTAAAAACGCATTCCTTGGTCCATGTCTTAGTTATCTAGTGCCTGTATGACAGAAAATACCACAAGTGGGTGGCTTTAACAGAGAAACTTATTCTCTCACAGTCTAGGAGGCTAGAAGTCTGAATTCAGGGTGCCAGCTCCAGGGGAAGGCTGTCTCTCTCTGTCAGCTCTGGGGGAAGGTCCTGGTCATCAGTCTTCCCCTGGCCTAGGAGCTTCTCGGCACAGGGACCCCAGGTCCAAAGGACGTGTTGTTTTCCTGGCTCTTGTTTCTTAGTGGTATGAGGTCCCCATGTCTCTCTGCTTGCTTCTCTTTTTTATATCTCAAAAGAGATTGACTCAAGATACAACCTAATCTTGTAGATTGAGTCCTGCTCCATTAACATAACTGCCTCTAATCCTGCCTCATTAACATCATAGAGGTAGGATTTACAACACATAGGAAAATCGCATCAGATGACAAAATGGTAGACAATCAGAAAATGCTGAGAATCATGGCCTAGCCAAGTTGACACACATTTTTGGGGGACACAATTCAATCCATAACATCCATAAGTGTCAATGAGGATTCCCATTATAGGAGCAATGACAACAGGAGAGAAGCAGAAGAGGGGATGCCCCTTGCCATAAGGACAGTTCCCAACACTTCACTGTGACACATACCGCCAAGAGTATACCTAGAGTGATATGTACTTAATAGTCACATGACCTATTATTCCACCCTTTTCTCTCCCACACAAGGAAGTACATCTTTGCCAAGTGGAATGCCGTTAGAGAGAGAACTTGAAAACTGTTCTAATTTATAAAAACAAGTGAAAGCATTTACAAGTTTTAGTGTTTTTAACTATTAATAGTAATCAATTACTTTCAACAAACATTATACCCGACTTTTGTTAGGTGCTGTCGAGTTGACTCTGACACATAGCAACCTTATGGATAACAGAATGAACTGTTGCCCAGTCCTGTGTCATCTTCATGATTGTTGCTATGTTTGAGTCCACTGCTTTGGCTCAATAAGGTCAATCCATCTCACTGAGCATTTTCCTTATTTTTGCTGACCCTCTACTTTACCAACCATGATGTCCTTTTCTAATGATTGGTCTTTCCTCATGTATCCAAAGTAAGTGAGCCAAAGTCTAGCCATCCTTACTTCTACGGAGCATTCTGCTTTTCTGTTTGTATTTCTTCTAAAATTGATTTCCTCTGGCAGTTCACAGTATGTTCAGTATTTTTTGCCAACCCCACAGTTCAAATGCATCAATTCTTCTTCCATTTTCACTGTCCAGCTTTTGCAAGCATATGAGGTGAATGAACCCGATAAGAATACATCAGTATGTATTACTATCTCCACTGGGAACTACAGCAATAGGTATAATAAAGGATGATGGGAGTACTTTGATATTTTTACTTTAGAAATCCAGAATTTGGACCTATGCCTCTGGATGAATTTCAAATTCTATCTTCCTAACTCTTAATTTTGGCTTTGACAGCAGCCAACAACAGCAACAAGTTTTGCTTAGATTAATATATTTGGATTTTTAAAGTTCCAAAGCCCAGTTTACAGAGTCATGCATAAAGGGGAATATCTAAACACTCTTAAGGTCTATAGTAGTAGACTCTGATTTTTGTTATGCATTTAGCTTACCTAGAGTAACACAGACATACTACTCAGTGAATTCAAAATAAATTACTTAACTAGCCTAAGAGCATTACTCATAGACTATATGCTAATAGACTAAAACACTTAGTCTTATCAACTTTTTAACTGAGGAAAAAGCGAAGCATGGGTAATACATTAAGTAAGCATATTTACTCATTAATTCTACAAATATTTACTTGCCCTGATCAAAGTACTAGGAACTCGGTGGTGAACAAGCTGCTCACAAAGCTTAGTCTCCTGGTTGGGGGAGGCAGCAGAATGGGTGGATACACAACACAACTAATTGCACAATTAGTGATTTAATTCCAATTGTGCTTAATGCCACAAAGGAAAGGCACAAATGCTTTGAGAGGAAAATTGGAGGACCTTCCCTGAGGATGTAAAAGTAGAGCAAGCTCTAAAGGCTGGCTAGGAATTAACTAGGAGAAGAATGCAGCAGGAGAAGTCCAACTTTTTCCAGAAACTGTGAAAAGGTCAGTGTGTCTGAAGAGTAGAGGCAGAAAATGGGAATGCCATGAATGGCAGGAGGGTGAGTGTCTTAGGTATCTAGTGCTGCTATAACAGAAATACCATAAGTGGATGGCTTTAACAAATAGAAGTTTCTTCTCTCACAGTTTAGGAGGCAAAAAGTCCAAATTCAGGGCGCCAGCTATTGGGGAAGGCTTTTTCTCTCTGTGGGCTCTGTGGGAAGGTCCTTGTCATCAATCTTCCCCTGGTCTAGAAGCTTCTCAGAGCAGGGACCCTGGGTCCAAAGGACGCACTACACTCCTGGTACTTCTTTCTTGGTGGTATGAGGTCCCCATTCTCTCTGCTCACTTCTCTCTCTTATATCTCAAAAGAGATTGACTCAAGATACAACCTACTCCTGTAGATTGTGTCCTGCCTCATTAACAACACAGACGTTAGGATTTAGAACACATGGGAAAATTACTTCAGATCACAAAATGGTGGACAACCATACAATACTGGGAATCATGGCCTAGCCAAATTGACACACATTTTGGGGGGGGACAGAATTCAATCCATAACAGTGAGGTAGACAGAGGCCATATCAAACAGGCCCTCTAGGTCTGTCAGGCATTTCTCTCCTATGACTCTGAGGTTCCAGTTTCTGGTCCCTCCACAGTGTATGAGTGGGGAAGATCTTACTTGATGTGGTGGACTGTAAGGTGGTCCCATGATTCTACCTCCTGGTGTTCACATCTTTGTATAATCCCTTTCCCTTGAGTGTGGGTGGAACTTGTGATTTGCTTCTAACCAATAGAATATAGCAAAGGCGACAGGATATTCCTTCTGTAACTACATTATGTTATATAAGACTCTGTTTTGCTAGTAGACTCATTCTCGGGTCTCTCTCTGTTGCTGGTTTTGAAGAAGAAGGCTGCCATGAGTCCGACAGCTATAAGGAATTGAATTCTGCTAATAACCACTTGAGCGGGGAAGGAGGTTCTTTCCTAGTCGAGCCTCCAGATGAGAACCCAGCCTTGACTGATGCCTGGACTGCAGCCTTGTGAGACCTTAAACAGAGGACCCAGCTAAGCTGCTCCTGGACTTCTAAACTACAGAAAGTGTGAGATAATGAATGTGTGTGTTGTAAGCTGCTAAATTTGTGGTAATGTGTTACACAGCATAAAAAACTAACACATTTGAACAGTAGCACAGCAAGCAGCTTTGCCTTCTCTCTGGGCCTGGAAAATGTTGAAAGCTAATTCCTTTGTGGATGCTTTCTGGACTCTTCAGAGGCTCCTATCACTAGGAAGACTCTCTCTTGCAGTTCCCTTGATGTGGGCTGATGCATTTCTTTATTCTGGGTAGTTTCTTGTAACTCCTTCCTTAGCTCCTTAGGAATCTAGTGTTCACCTTCCGGTTCTCACTGCTGGGTCCCTCGAGGGGCCTTAGTGGACAGGACCTAGACCAATCCCATGCCAGCGCCCTCCTCCATGAGGCTCAGAGCTGGTCACCAGTAAGTGACCAGATCTGGTAATGCATCCTTTGGGAGTGCAGGCTGCTCCCAACATGGTAGCACTCTCCTCAGCCCAACCGGGGTCGGTCCAATGGCAGGCACCATATCAAGCTCTCCCAGAGTCCCCTTGAATTTCTCTCTCTCTAGGCTTCAGGCAAAGGAGTGGTGGTGAATGACAGTCACTACATGGCAAAAGTTCACTCCAAGACTCTCTTCACCAGTCTTTTATTTTCCACACTCTGTAAACTTTTTTATCCTTCATCTGTTTCAAGGCTCCTAAGACTCATGGAATTGATTACTGAACACTTCCTCAGCAAATTCTGTGCATGGGGATTTGTCTCACCATCACTTTGTACTGTGATATCTACTGTATTGGCAATTCAGTCAGAATGGAGGGAGGAAATGTACAATTTAACGTCCTGTTATACTTGGTAATCGCAAGTCACAAAATAAGGAAACAATATAATTTAATGCTAATATTACTATTTATTTCTAGCTGACATTTTAAAAATCAGTAATATTCACATTCCTAGAAAATGTCAAAACTATGAACTCTATTTAAAACACAATGATTCAACATCCTCAAACACATTTATCTATGTCCTGCAAGCAGAAATATAGAAGGAGACAGAAATCGAGGAATCAAAGCATTTTGCATTTGGCAAAAGTGCCCTATTTAAAATACAGAACGTTTATTCATTCACTTATTAAAGGAATATTTATTGAGTACCTTCTAAGTGACAAACTGTGTTTTATTTAAACTTTTAAAGATTTAATTTTGATTTTACTTAGCCAGATCGCTGGGAAAAGTACATGTATAAGAAGAAAAATACACATCAGGGTAAGCTTTAGAAATATCTGTTACTCCAGAATTACCTGAAAAAGCATTGCTGTAATATCTAGACAGGGTCTGCATGATGTCCTTAGAGTGCTGGGTCCAAGGAGCTATCTTTCTATAGGTTTTCACCCGATGAACAAGTTGAGAACCACCATACTGAAGGGACAAGGTATCCCCGTGGTCCTCGTAGAGCTCCTCGAATAACCTAAGCAAAAGGAAAACTCACATTTAAGAGTTTTAGCAAAATTATTGCACTATTATTCACTCAGCCCACACTCAAAACACATCTTTCACTTTGATTTCTTCTGAACCTTTCCTTTCAAGTAGAATCTTCAACGTCTTGAAGATAAATGCAAATGAAAAATGTGTTGTATTTGATAGTAATATTCCAATGGGCAACAGTCACAAGAAACACTAAAAAGGAAGCAAGAGCACCAGAAACTTTATCCACCAAAGCCAGACAATCCTGTTTCTAACCATATTAAGAGTCCTAACTTTCTGCAGGCTGCCAGCTCAATTCAAATCCCATGACAGAATTTTCTGTTCTCTCCAAATTGCCTCTGAAGAAAGGACATCTCTTGTCACAGGTAGATAAACCACAATCCTTCTCAGAAATATGCACATGTTTGCAACTTGTGCTTTTTCAAACATCTGTTAAGACTTTTAGCACAGTATCTGTGGGTCAGGCCATTTAAAAGCTGATCTTTTCCTTGACCAAGGCTTTGTGATAACCCCAGATGACCAACAACAGCCATCATTATATTTTCAAGAAACAGTACCTCATTCAATGTCATGGATCCAACAGACAGTGAAGAACTCGTAATTCTTAATAAAAACCTTTTATAAGTCTCATATTTTTAACTCAAAATGTATGAAAACACATTACTTTTTTTAACGCAGTTTGGATTTGTTAAAAAGAAACATTTGTTTGTCCAAGCACTTTGGATTTTTCTAAAAAACAGTGTTTATTGACAACATACACATGAACCAAAAACCATGAAAATAACACAAAAATCTTTAATAGAAATATTTTCTACATAATTAATTTGAATAATGTCTTCTAGCAACATCATTTTTTGAAAAGCTAAAAGTAGAAACATGATTTCATAAAAGTCCTTATTATTAATCGGGTTTGCTTTCTGTCATTACCAACAGTCATAAGGCAGAAAACAAGGCTTACCTAACTGCATCTGTATCGAACTGTAGATTAGGTTTGTCAATCAATCCCAAGGAATACAGCTGATAAGCTAAAGCACATTTTCCCACCATAAACTGTGCTGTGTTGGTGCGATCCAAACAGTCCACACAGTTGGTTCGAAGAACACCAGTCTAAACATAAACACCATAAGATTTTCAGTCATTATACTCAATAACCACAACTGCTTCCACACTACTTCAGATTTGATTTCTTTAAGAAGCAGGAGAAAGACTTGTGACGGGATTATTCCTGAACAAATAGAACTTATTTCATCTTATATAAAGTTAAAGATCAAAATAATGAAGAACATATTTCTTAGATTATAAAAGGACATACTGGCTGCTCACTTAACACTGCTGCAAAAGCATCATTAAATCTTCTGGTCTGTAATTGAAATTTCCTTTAGTTTAACAAGATAAAAGAAACAGCTAACATTTTCCACATGTACCAATTAATCAAATATGTGATTTTCCCCCTGATATATCTCCTTTACAGGATAAACAAAATAGTGATTGAGGTCTGATCATTCTTAAAGCATAATTAATATATGTAGTGAATGTACTGGAATTGCTCTCCAAAATCACTTTAATTCATTCTTTTCACATTTCTGTTTGTGTTTCTATTTCTAATAATAAGATTTAATATATAGAAAAAAACCCATGGGCCAAACTATTTCAGCTTCTATACGAGTCAAACACCAGCAGTAAGACCTTTAAAAATCATTCCCAATTGATTAATCTTGCATTAAATAAGATGTATCTTTCTCCATGACTGCTGTCAGAAATCATATCCTGTGGATAAGATTCTATTAATTATCAAGACAATATTTTCCATACCTGTCGGCGACCAGTGGGAATCACACATCCTCCTAGTTCATTCCACCTGTGTTTAAAAACAGATGCTTTAAAAAAATTTTAATGGTATATTCTATATTCTAATTCTTACTTTGTTAAGAATTCTGTAATCATAGCAGTAGAGCTGAATGCACCTGAAGAAATTGGCTGATTCTGCTTCTTGTTGTTGGATCCTGTTGAGTCAGTTTGGACTCACAGTGATCTCATGCGTGCAAAGTAGAACTGTGCTCCATAGACTTAAAAGGTCACACTTAAGACTGGGACCTTTCGGGAGCAGATCATCAGGTCTATCTTCTGAGTCACCTCTGGGTGGATTTAAACCAACCTTTTGGCTATTAGCGGAGCGCTTAACCATTTGCACCACTCAGGGACTCCTTTTGATTCTGCTTACTTTCATTCTTTCAGGCAAGTGAATATGTGGATAATCAAGATGGAGTGCAATTCATACTCTCCTCAAAGAGAGCCCAGGACCATGCTGTACCACCTCAGCTAGAGAGCCAGTGGCCTGCTGCTGCCCTGAGTCTGCCCCACCCCTATCCACCAGATCCCACCACACCAGTCTTTTTTTTCTCTTTATTTTCTTTTATTTTCTGCTTGGACGTAGTCCCATATGCTACCTCCCCTCCCTTCCCACCAGACCTTGGGCCTGCCCCACCCCCACTGCACTGTTATTTTTTTACATCTTTTTCCTTTCTTACTTTTCTCTCTCCCTCCCACCTAGCCCTGCAGGCCACCTCCTCCCCTTCCTGCCAGCCCCCCTGCAGCAGTGTGAATAGAGTGTCACCAGCACACCAACCTGCTGCTGAATTGAGTCTGCCCTACCCCCAACCACCGGGCCCCACCACGCCATCATTTTATTCTTTTTCCTTTTTTTTCTTTCTTTTCTTTCCCTCTCCCACCTAGCCACATAAGCCAACTCCCCTCCCTTCCCACTGGCCCTCAGGTCTGCCCTACCCCCACCCATCGGCTACCTTTTTCTCTCTCTCTCTCTCTTTTCTTTTCTTTCTCCATCTCACCTAGCCCAGTATGCCACACCCTTTCTCACCGGCCCTCATTGCGCCACCATGGTTAGGCCATCCCTGGAGCACAGGCCTGCTGCTGCACTGGGCCCACACTGCCCCTCCCATCCCGCCACTCAACCAGTTGCTGATTGGTGGAAAGTGAGCCTGTATCACTCCCTATCCAACACCCTTGTCTTGCTGGCAAGGAGCTGTGAATGCTCTAACACCAGGAGGTGGACAGCGCATGCGGAGTCCACCCTCAGCCACCTCGCAATACCAGCGTTCAGCAAAGCGGACTCACCCTGCCCACCTGGACAAGATGGTTAGAGCTATCACGCCCACAGACAAGTGAGCAGCAAAGCACGCCTCGCCCACTCACCCTGACATATCAAAACAAACCAAAAAAAGCAGGACAAAACAAATGAACATACAATCAATAAATAAAAAAAATAATAGCTTAGTGTCTCAAAGAGAGAAGACAATATCAACACATATAAAAAAGCAAGACAAGATGGCTCTAGCAAGTGACCAAAATAAAGAATCAGATGACCTTCTGGTAGAAGAAAAGGCAGTGGAACTACCTGATATGGAATCCAAAAGACTAATATTTAGTGCTCTCCAAGAGATTAGGAAAGAGATCAAGGAAATCACAGATAAAACCAAGGAAAATATAGACAAAATCATGGAAAACACATAAAAAAACAACAAAAACAAAGCCAAAATCAAGGAAAACACAAAGCAATAGAAGAATTCAGGAAAATAATACAAGAACAAAAATGTCAAAACAATTAAATAATTAGAAATCAAACAAAAACAGGAACTAGAAATCCAATAGATAAACAGCAAAATTTCAGAAATGAACAACTCATTAGAGGGTCTTAGGAGCAAATTTGAAACAATGGAAGACAGAATCAGAGAGACTGAAGACAATTCATGGATGTCACTTTGAAGAAAAATCAGAAAATAATGAAGAAAACCTAAGAACTACGTGGGATACAATCAAGAGCAAAAATTTGCACATGATCAGAGTTCCAGAAGAGGTAGAGAAAATGGAAAACAGAGAGAAGATTGCTGAAGATTTGCTGGCAGAAAACTTCCCTAATATCATGAAAGATGAAAAGCTGATCATCCAAGAAGCTCAACGAACCCAATAGAGGATAGATCCCCAAAAGAAAGTCACCAAGACATATTATAATCACACTTACCAAAACAAAGGACAAAGAAAGAATCCTGAAAGCAGCTCAACAAAATTGAAAGTCACTTACAAAGGGGAAGAATAAGACAAAGCTCTTGATCACTCAACAGAAACTATGCAAGCAAGAAGGCAACGGGATGACATATAGAAAATCTTGAAAGAAAAAAACTACCAAACAAGAATAACATATCCTCATATATGATCGCAAAATTAAAACATTTCCAGATAAACAAAAATTAAGGGAATTAGTAAAAACCAAACCAAACTTACCAGAGATATTAAAGGGAGTCCTTCAGCTAGAGAACCAACAATATCAGACAACAACCAGAGTCTAGGACACAGGATAGCATCAGCCAGGTATCAAACTAGGTGAACAACTCTCAATAATAAAACAAAGCTAAACGACTTAAACCAGGGCAACAGAGATATCAATCTGTAAATGACAATGTCAAAACAACAAAAGGGGGAATAAATGGTGTAGGCATAGAACTTTCAAATGGAGAGGAAGTCAAGGTGATATCAAGTAATAAAAGACTGGTTCAAACTTAGAAACATAAGGGTAAATTTCAAGGTAACCACAAAGAAAGTTAACAAACCTACTCATCAAAATAAAAAACAAGAAAACCTTAAAGAACCAGCAAACAAAAAATCCATAATGAAAGAAAAAAAAATCCACAAACAAAAGAAACTCAGCACAGGAAAATAAGAGGAACAAAGAAAACATCAGTACCACCAAAAAAAAAAGCACAACAATACGATAGCAATAAACTCCTACCTGTCAATAATCATAATAAATGGAAATGGCTTAAAGTAAGCCATTTAAAAGACAGAGTGGCCGAATGGATAAAAAAACCACAACTCATCAATATACTGTCTACAAGAGATACACCTGAGACACAGACATAAATATATGAAATATCAAAGGATGTAAAAAATATATCAAGAAAACAGTAATAAAAAGAGCAGCAGTGGCAATGCTAATCTCAGATAAAATAGACTTTAAGGCAAAATCAACCATAAAAGAAAAAGAAGGACATTATTTAATGATTAAAAGGACAATCCACCAAGAAGATGTCACCCTAATAAATATCTATGCATCCAATGACATGGCTCCAAAATGCATAAAACAAACTCTAACAGCACTGAAAAGAGAAATTGACAGTTCCAAAACAATAGTAGGAGATTACAATACACCACTCTTGATAAAGGACAAAACATCTAGAAAGAAACTCAACAAAGATACAGAAGATCTAAATGCCACAATCAACCAACTTGACCTTACAGACATATGTAGAACACTATCCAACAGCAAAAAAACTATAATTCTTTTCCAATGCACATGGAACATTCTGCAGAATAGAAAACATTTTAGGTTACAAAGCAAACTTCAGTAAAATCCAAAACATCAAAAGAATATAAACCACTGTCTCTGAGCATAACTCAATAAAAGTAAAACTCAATAACAGGAGGAGCAAGGAAAAAAAATCAAATACATGGAAGCCAAATAACACCTTGCTTTAAAACTACCAGGTAATAGAAGAAATCAAAGAGGGAAGAAAAAAATTTCTAGAATCAAGTGAGAATGAAAACACATCATACCAAAACCTTTGGGACATGGCAAAGGTAGTGCTTAGAGGTCAAATTACAGCAATAAATGCATATGTTAAAAAAGAAGAACAAACCAAAATCAAAACATTAGCCTTACAACTCAAACAAACAGAAAGAGAGCAGCAAAAGCTCACAGGTACCAGAAGAAAGAAAATAATAAAGATTAAAGCAGAAATAAATAAAATAGAGAACAGAAAAACAAGAGAAGGAATCAACAAGACCAAAAGTTGGTTCACTGAAAAGATCAACAAAATTGAAAAACTACTGGCCAAACTGACAAAAGAAAAACAGGAGAGGAAGCAAATAAACCACATATGAAACGAGACAGGGGACATTAAAACAGACCGAACGGAATTAAAAAGGATCATGATAGAATACTATGAAAAACTGTACTCCAACAAATTTTAGAACCTAGGGGAAATGGACAAACTTCTAGAAACACACTACCTACCTAAACTAACACAAATGGAGATAGAAAATCTGAACAGACCCATAATAAGAGATGGAAGAGATAATAAAAAAAAAAATGCCAACAAAAAAAGTCCTGACTCGCACACTTCTCTGCAGAATTCTACCAAACATTCAGAGAAGCGCTCACACCAATACTACTCAAACTACTTCAGAACACAGAAAAGGAAGGAATACTCCTGAATTCACTCCATGAAGCCAGCACAGCCCTGGTACCAAACCCAGGCAAAGACATCACAAAAAAAGAAAATCACAGACCAATATCTCTCATGAATATAGATGCAAAAATTCTCAACAAAATTCTAGCCAATAGAATTCAGCCTCATATTAAAAAAAAAAAAACAAAAAACAAAACCATGACCAGTGGGATTCATACCAGCTATGCAAGGATGGTTCAACATTAGAAATCAATGTAATCCACCACATAAATAGAACAAAAGAAAAGAATCACATGATCATCTGAATCCACGCAGAAAAGGCATTTGATAAAGTCCAATACCCATTCAAGATAAAAACTCTCCATAAAATAGGAATAGAAGGAAAATTCCACAACATAATAAAGGAGGGCATCTATACAAAGCAACATCATGATATGATAAACAGAGAAAAGACTGCAGTTGTCAACGATTTCATTTTACTTGGATCCACAATCAATGCCCATGGAAATAGTAGTCAAGAACTCAAACGACATATTGCATTGGGCAAATCTGCTGCAAAAGACCTCTTTAAAATTTAAAAAACAAAGATGTCACCTTG